ATTGAATTTTGGTGTTGCCTCAGTGGGGATTGTTGTATGGAGGTTATAAAATTTCGAGTCATTATAGGAATACACTTTCTAGCAGGTAGAATTTTCTAGATTTTGGAAAACTCTCATGAAGAAGTGATATTCCTACCCCAAAGGATATTTCAAACAGGAGCTTGACACATTCTTGGCTTGAAGATGGTAGACAAGATTCAACATTGTATGTGGCAGTTGAAGTGGCTGATTGTTATTGCATTCTCCTGGCTGTAGGTGTCTGAGACATTCTATTCAAATGCATTTTGATCACTGAATTCTGTTGAATTCTCCCTAATGTGCCCAAAGGCTGTTTGAGTTGACATGCTGCTGAACATTCTACAATACTGACACAAGTGTCCATGAATGCTACATCTTTGTTCTGTCTCCCGGCAACCATTCTTGTTTTCATGTCAAAGCATCCAAGCCTTAACCACACATATAGTAACAACAGGTGTAAACCATTTAAAGATGGCTGCATCATGCTACAAAAAAAAAAAAAAAAAAAAAAAAATGAGGTTGATGTCACTGTGACAGGCTGCTCAAAGACTGCTCATTGCAAGGGGGCTTGGCCCCTTCCTCAGGCCCAGAGTCAAGGGATCATACACGCTGCAAATTGTTTCAAAACACTTTTCCAATTTGAGGCCTATAGGGGAAAAACTGCAGTTAACCCCCCGTATGTCTGTATTCAGGATAACTTGAACACACAAACCAGCTCATTGATAGTTGAAGGTAACTGGCAAATGAGTAGTGGGGAAAGATGGAGTTTATAGGTTTTTAGTTTCCACTGGATAGGAGGTAAGATATGGTTGACTCAAGAAACAAAGCAGGGTAAAACTGGTAAGAAGTTTAGAAATTTTAAAAAAAGTTCTTAATTTTACAGATTAGGAAACTGAGGAATAAACAGGGTAATTGACTAGTTCAAGGCCACACAGGGTAAGCGTTAGAATACGAACTCATTCCTATGCTCTCCTGTCTCCCATTTGTCTGTTAAAAGTGGAAAGTACAAGGTGTAGGAGGTTACGTAAGTCAGGGCCCAGGAACTACACTGCTTGTCATAGTGGAATGTACCCCGAATCTGCAGTTTCCCAATAGCACATATGCCTTTTGTCTTTCCTAAATCTAATTTTCTTTCTCTGCAAAAGCAAGGCTTGACAGTGATCCATTCAACTCATATTTACTAAAAACCTATAGAAGCTGTAAATCTGTAGAAGCCATGAGGCTCAGTGATGAAGAACAGAGCCTCTGAAGACAGAGTGCTGCGTCTATACCATGTACACAGGAGTTTTCCTTGTAGCAGCCTCTAAGGCTTGCTGAGCCTCAGTTTTCTCCTGAATGCTCACCATGTGCTAAGCTTGTTCTAAGCACTTTGCATGTATTTTCTTATTAAAACCTCATGCCCATGCTCTGAGATAGTTCTGCAATTCTCCTAATTTTACATAATCAGAAACAGAAACAACACTTAGATAATATGCTGAAAACTGTGCTAGCTATCTCACAATGTGGATATTAAATCATTTAATTAAATCCCTAAACAGAGAGCAAGTTTTCAGCAAATATTACCTTCTATTAATATTTCTTCTTCCTCTACCCCCAGCACCGTCAAGACCACAGCTCTACAGCAGTATTTCTCATCCACTGCCAGGTGCTAAAGATCTGAAAAAAATTATCCTCCTTACCCTCAGGAGCTCACATGTTCCTAGAAAGAAAGACAGTTCTCCCACTGAGAATGACAGTGTGATGTATGATCTCAAAGCGGGTCTCTCCGCAGATTTTTTTAGAGGGGTCAGGACCTGTGGTTCATTTACCCATCCTGCTCACACAGACCACCAAAGCCAGCAACAGTGACAATCACATATCCTGCAGAAATAAGTGCTACCTGCTGTGTTTCTCAGAGTCACCAACTAAGAAGGACTGTCCTTCAACTAGAAGTAATGATGTTGTAATAATTATTATTATCAGCATTCATTAGAAAATTTCTAGAAGTTGCTTATCTGCTGGTTTCTCTCTTTAGTTCTTTGGGGCTGCTAGAACAGTATACTATGGACTACGTGACTTCTAAACAATTGAAATTTATTTTTTTACAGCCCTGGAGTCTGGAAGTCCAAAATCAAGTCACCAGCAGATTCCATGTCTATAGGAATGGACATGATTCATGGTTCACAGACAGCTGTCTTCTCTCCATGCCCTCATATAACAGAAGGAGCAGGGAGCTCTCTGAGTTTTCTTTCATAAGGGCACTAATCCCATTCATGAGAGCCTCATAACTTTATCACTTCACAAAAGCCCCAACACCAAATACCATCACACTGGTGATTAGATTTTGATGTATAAATTTGAGGAGGGCACAGAAATTTAATCTATTGCAGTCCTCTTTAGTATTACCTAATGTAATTCTTATGATGCTTTGAGGCAACGAGACTTGCCGTGATCAAATAAATGGGGAAGCAAGTCCAACTTCATTTTGCTAGCAGCAGATCCCAAATTTGAACCAAGATTTGTCTGTCTCCAAAACCAGCATATTTACCTCAAAAACAAATGTTAAACATTACTGCTAATGAATGCTAAAAATAAATGACATGCTATTCAATAAATAATATTATTATATATTCAAATCAATTATCAATAATAATTGATATGGTTTGGCTGTGTCCCAACCCAAATCTCATCTTGAATTGTAGTTCCCATAATCCCCATGTGTTGTGGAAGGGACCTGGTGGGAGGTAATTCAATCACACGGGTAATTACTTTCATGCTATTCTTGTGATAGTGAGTGAGTTCTCACGTCCAGGCAGGAAATGGGGGCCAGGCCTCTCTGTCCTAGGCCAGACCAGGAAGGGCTGAGGGGCCTCGGGCTGCAAGAGTGGATCAGGGGTCAGAGGTCAGGGCTGCAGATGTGTGGGTCGAGGGTTGGGCTGCAAGTGTGGCTCAGAGGTTGAAGATCTAATGGTTTTATAAAGGCTGTCCTCCTTTTGCTCAGCACTCCTCCTTGCTTCTGTCATGTGAAGAAGGATGTGTTTGCTTCCCCTTCCACCATGATTGTAAGTTTCCTGAGGCCTCCCCAACCCTGAAGAACTGTGAGTCAATTAAATCTCTTTCCTCTATAAATCACCCAGACTCAGGTATGGCTTTATTAGCAGTGTGAGAATAGACTAATACAATAATATTAACATGTCATAATATTCTATGCTGTATAATATGATTTACCTACTTATAAGAAAGAAGTACTATAAATTTACTATTAATACTAATATAAAGAAGAAAGAAGTAAATTAGTATAAGTTTAGAGAAAATAAATAACCTATGTAGATAAATTAAGCAAAAAATAAAGAGCAGCTATATTAAATGAGTGCATTTATTTAAAAAGATATATGTAGATTTATGCAAATTTATACATTGCTATTTTCTAGAAAGCTGAACATGTGACTTCTATTTGTATATACTTCAAAGGAGTGGAACTTAGACATTAGGGTAGGTAAGGAGGGATCCAATTTTACCATATATGTGTCTGTGTAGTTTTAGAAATGAGGGCTTATTATTGTCCAATAAAAGTAAATGTATATTTACAAATTAGATATATTTTAAATAAATAGATTTTATTTCATGAACAGATTTTTTATCTAATCACCGTAACAACTAATAATACAGAAAAATGTGCCACAGTTCATTAAGATGCCTTTGGAAATGTGAAGGAATGGAGGCGAGGTTTACTGAACACTCACAAGCTAGGCAGCATGATGGGGCTCTCTTCACCCACAGAAGTAAATACCATGACCCATGACTTGCATCCTATATATGAGGCCACTGAAATGCTGAACACTTAAGAAATATGCCCATGGACCCACAGCTGGAAATTTAAAACTGAGCTTGAATCCTAGGTCTATCTCATCCTGAAATGACTCTTTCCACTTCTCTGCCAGTGATAATTCCAGAAGCACTTTGAAAATCACTTTTTTCTACTCTTGGCAACACCACGTAAAGAAACAAGCTGTTGGTGAGGCTCTGCAGTGGCAAAGAATCAGTGAAACATAGATGCACTTAAAACGTATCATTATTGCTAACAATAAAAAGTTTTAACTGTTCTAGGAGGCAGTGAGGTGCTTGAAAGTCATCAGTATGATTCATTTTAGGGAAAGATTCATTCCCTTGTGTTTCTGGGCAGGGAGCCCATATGAAAAAGATCATAAGTGCTGTGGCTACTCTGAGGTCACTGTGAAAAAAGTAACAGACCTTGATGATAAAGGAGCTAGTCAGTCATCAATTCCATCCCCTTTGCCAACAAGAGACAATATTTAAAGAGCAGTAATCATGTGTATTTAACTCAGGTTCAATTCTTCTTTGGAAGTAGGCCTCCAAACACTCTGACTACTAACATTATGTGAACTCTTACAGTTTTAAATGAATTTTAAACAAATGGAAGCCCCATAACTATTGTTTTATAATTTAGAAAAATGATTATCTACAAAGTAGAACCTATCCTTTTGCACATCACTCTAAGGGAGCTGAATGAGAATATGGGGGGTAGAATTAGATGGAAATGGTAAGAATTCTGGTTCTTCCACCTACAGTCTATGCCTAAGAAAAACCACAGATAGCTGATTTGAGTCCCAAGATTGCTGAGACTGTTGCCTGGAACTTAGGTCAAAGTTACTTTCACCACTAAAGAAGCAAACAAGGCTGGGCGCGGTGGCTCACGCCTGTAATCCCAGCACTTTGGGAAGCCGAGGCAGGTGGATCACGAGGTCAAGAGATCGAGACCATTCTGGCCAACATGGTGAAACCCCGTCTCTACTAAAATACAAAAATTAGCTGGGTATTTGGCACAAGCCTGTAGTCCCAGCTCCTCGGGAGGCTTAAGTGGAAGAATCGCTTGAACCCAGAAGGTGGAGGTTGCAGTGAGCCCAGACTGCATCACTGTGCTCCAGCCTGGTGACAGAGCAAGACTCCATCTCAAAAAAACAAAACAAAACAGACAAACAAACAAAAGAGCAAACAATCCTTGTGAAGGGCATGCAAGGCAAAGATACAGATGAACAGACATAATTTCTTGTGCTTCCTAGTTATCCATGGAAATGGGCCTGAGGTTGAGAGGTCGTGTGGCAGGAAGTGAGAAAGTTTTAACGTCTTAAAGTACAAAGAAAGGCAGGGTGGGGGTTGCTGGTGTTTTTAATGTTGAGTTGGAGGAAGGGCAGACCACCCTTCCAGCTTGACTACCAACAAATAAGGTAAACCCTGTGGATCCAGAATTCACACACTTCTAATTTCTAATTTTCTTTCTGCATCTCAGGGACTACAGCAGGCCTGGCCATAACAACATCTAGGGCAAGTTACTTAACCCCTCTGAAACTTAGTCCTTAATATGTAATAGACGAATAGTCACACTACTTCTATTGGCTTTGTATGTAGTAAAGTTAAATGAAATCACCTATATAAAGCAATCTAGGATCAAGTCAATGCTAAAAATATCACTTTTATTTCCACTCTGACTTTATTGTCACCATCCACACATATGCTTATTCATACATCCTTATCTTTCAAAACTCCTAGATGCATATGAACAACCATGTCTCCAAGATTATTTTATTGGAGAAATGAAAATTCATTCAACCCTGAATACCTGTCACAGGCTCCCACCCAGACCTGTAAGAGCCCCTGCCTCAATTTTGTGCAACACCTCAAGGCTCTTAAATTTATATAGTGCTTTCTCACCTGCAAGCAACATTCACATATGGGATCCTTTTTTGATCTTAGGTCAGAAGCAAAACAACTATTATTACACTCATTTTATAAAGTCCAAAACTAAGACACCAAGAAGCAGAAACAAACTGGCCTCTGTCGTCAGGTGCCTCTGAAGGATTCAGCTCAGCTCTTCATATAGTTCATCTAACCTATTAATCACTGAATTTGAAATCCAGACAACCATTCGGGATGAATCATATTATGTTGGGCTTTCTTCTTATTGATATGGCAACAGATGGTTTTATCACTTACACTTTACAATAAAATAATTTATCAACATTTGCACAATTAACAGCAAACTTAAGAAATATGAGAAAGGATTAAAATTGTATTCTAAATTTTATACATGAAAAGACTTTGTCCCAGAGAGATTACATATCCCAGGTATTAACTGATAAGTTAAGATCAGATTTGACAATCCAGCACTCTTTCCATGGGACTGCACTTCCCTGGGGAATTGGTTGTGCATTTCCAGAAACAGGTGCTCACTCCCTCAAAAGGTTTGCCTGGTTCTCACAATTTTTCTTATTGTAAGACAAAATCTGCCCCCATGCCAATGAAAACTTTAGACCATTAATTAACTTTGAACTTCTTTGCAAATCTCTAGAGACGGAATCATTTTGTCTGAAAGTATTCTGTTATCAGTGTGATGCAATGGCATACATGCCAATGAGGATTATTTGGGGATGTTGCCTGTTAAAGCTGGTACCTGCCTTGCTGGTCATCTAGGGATATTATACGTACTAAATGACTGGATTTAGAACTGAAACAAAGGATTTACAACTTTCAATCCAGGACATATTCTGTATACAAACAGTTGGTTAACTCCTTCTCAAAGAATCATAAGGTTCATATGAATTCATTAATTCCAGCAAAAAATTTATTGTCCAAAATGGGACATTTTTAAGAATAAAAAGAGTGATAATTAGAACAATAGATGTGTGCAATTATCAGGACTAGTAATTTACCAAGACTGGTAAATGAGGTATATAATCAATTAGCAGTGTCTCTATCCTTGCAGGGTGTTCTAGAAGGTGGGGAAAGGCAAGCAATAAATAAGTAAAAAAAAAAAAAAACAAGTTAAGGGATGATTCTTAGGATATAATAGGGTGATGTGATGGGCAGTGGCTGAAGGAGGAAAAGCTGCTTTGGAAGGAGTAATTTATTCATGGAAAGGCTTCCTCCACTGAAGAAATAATATTTGAGTGGAGAGCTAAAGATTAAGAAAGACATAGTCAGTTGGAGAAAGCAACAAATGCAAAAGCCTTTGGGTGAGATAAAGGGTTTGCTACAGTGAGGATACAGAGAGGACACCATTATAGAAGATGGGAAAGGGGAAGCAGACAACAGTCACAATAAGAAGGGACGTAGAGACAACAGGAACAAATTCTCTGGAGGTGTGGTGGAAGTTTCACAATATTTGACTTAACGATCAATTATATATGCAACTTTTTAAAACCTATAATAACATGCACACTCACACATTACTTAAATTTTAAAATCTCAGAGACTCTCTGGTGTGTTATCTTGGGCTAAAATAACCAGTTTTTGAGCAGAACTTAGAATAAAGCTTCTCTCCCTATCTCTGTGCAGATGGTTAAAATTGATGGAAATACATTGTTATTTGGAAAGTTTCTCAGTTGGCATTCTTTCTTCTTGGAATTCAGGCTTATACACATCTGCTTGCATGAAATTGCACAAATAAGTGTTTATACCACTAATACACACATATACTGCATTCAATTAAATGCCAGGAAAGGCTGAATGTGCCCAGTGCATATTTTCATCACAGTGCGGTGTAGGTGGTCCAATAAAAACTATATACATTACATGGAACACCAGAATATCATCTTTTTATTTTAGTCCTTGTAGATTTTGAATCTTCTAGCTGATGTATTTATAAAAAGAAATCTGGCCCATAGCTAGATATTGTTACTGGTTCAACTTTGAATAAAAATGATCCAACACTCTTTGAAGCTCTTAGTCAGTTTAACAGAAGAATGCCATAGCGATTGTAAGGCAAGTCCTTACCTAACTGTAACTTTTACATTTATGCTCCCATGTGAGTAGACACTTACTCGATACTTCTAATTCAAAACAAGAAAAAAACACCCAAAAGCAAATTGAGAGCTGACTAATATGAAATAATCATTATCTCAGATCTGCAGCTTCACATATTTATTTCACCAAAACAGCCTCAAGAATCTTTTTATTTATTTATAGTAAAATAAGTATAATAAATTAGAACTTCCAAAATAGGGTCATGCCAATGGCTTTAATGGGTATAATCAATGGGTTTCCACATCAGATTTTGTCTGAGTAAGAGTTAATTGCTAAAGGTATTTAAATATAAGAAAGACGCACCTCCTTTTCCCCCACCATTTACTTGGATCTTGTGGGAAAACTTCATCTTGTTCAGCCTCAGTTGGCTCATTACCAAATGGGTTCAGTAATCCCATTCAGATAATGATTTACTATCTTAAGGACAAGGAATTGCACCAAATAAATGTTGACACTACTATTTGAAAGTTGACAATGCTACATTCACATGGTGCTGAAAACGGGACCCTCTAGGACGTAGGATGTGGTAGTCGACTTCCAGTGATTAGAACTATGTCATCGTGTGAGGCCCACATAAATAAAACACATGCAAGCCAGAGAGTCCTTCCAGAAAATGTGGCTGTCAACATCAAGAGACAAGTAAGTGCTGTGCTTCTGAGCTTCATTGAAAGAGTCACATTCAATCCACCCCTTCCTTCAAAACTTACTTTATTACTGTGGCTTCAAGTTCCACAGAAGAAAAACCACAAAGTATGTGCAAACTAGATGACCAGTCTGTGCTGATGAGAGAAAAAAACAGAAGACCATTGAGGTGCAGGGCAAGCCAGACAAAACATCTTCTGTGCATCTCCTGGAACCGTCAGTAAGAACTAGGTGCTCAAATCCAGACGTTTGATTGGCAGCCTTCAGCTACGTAGGAGGGTGGCAGGGCTCCTCTAGGACTGGAGATGAAGGAGGGACCTGGTTTGGATTTAGGAGTCCATAAGGAACAAGGAAATTTTGTAGTATAGTTTCTGGAGCCCAGGAGAAGCATGCAGGGAAAGGGAAGAGATTTATTTCCTTCTCTTAACGTTTGACCTGCATGGCGAACAGAAAGGTGACTGCCTATTTGCCAGGAAAATATTAAGAATTCATCAAACTGGTGGGGTTTTTTTTAGAACCCAACATTGATTGAAATTTCAGACAAGCCATTTAACCCCCTGTGCCTCAGTTTCTCCCATTTGTAATAAGGGATATAAAAATGTCAATAATTTAATATCTGAGATATATATGTACACATATACTGCATACAATTGAATGCCAGGAAAGGCTGAATGTGCTCAACTAATGAGCACATTCATATTGGGACCTCCTAGGACTTAGGGTGTAAAGTGAGCACATTCAACGTATTTGAAAAATAGATCCTTGGAACTCAAGATTAATAAGTCCATGATTTTTGAGAATTCCTGAAATTTTGACTACCACTGCCATGCAATTTCTTTCACAAAATGCAGTGAAGTATAATGAAAAATTGAAATCCATGACGTGTACATACATGGCAAGTATTACGACATATTCAAAGTTGAGACATAAACCTCTGGGAGAAGCCCAGATTTATGATATATACAAGTGAGTGGTTTTTAGATTTTCAAATTCTGTAAATGAGTAAAATGTTTTGTTTGCTTTTTAACTAAGAGACTTTTATAAGTTTTCCAAGATTTTGTTTTAGCTAAATAAATCATTAAAAAAACACACACACAAACTCTGTCTGCATCATTTCATGAAGGAAGAGCTTCTTAATTTAAAAAAGTCGTTGAAAAGACAATCTCACAAAAGGCAGTTCAATCCAAGGAAGAACAACAGTTGGTAGAACTAACACAAATACTTGAAAATGTAGAAAAATCCCAACATGCATTGACAGATGATAATATTAAGGAGCACATAATTTTTTAGACTTATTTGAAAATTGGGCATCTCTGTAAGCACTACCACATGAAGTAGAATTAGAATATGCAACTTGATCTGACATGCCATTGTTGCAAATCTATTTTCATGTGATAGGAATGAGAACAATGCCCTGGATGCTATTTGTTCAATTAAGTTACAAATTTATCTGAGACTTCAGCTCAGCTTCAGACCCATGATATGCATCTTGGTCATGAACGACACTGTTTTACAGACCAGCATTTGAAACCACTGTGATCTCAGTGATGCTCCCAGCTCTCAAGCCCCATGATTCAAGCCTGAGCCACTACAAAATTAGAAAATAAGCCCTTAGGAGATGTTATTACTAATCCAGTGTTTCACAATGAGATGGTAAACCCATAAAGAGGTTAAATAAGTCATTCAAATTCACACCATCCTAACTGGTATTAAGCGGTATCTGATTCAAAACCAGTGTTGCCTGGATTCCTAACTAACATAATCAACACTATATAATACTAGTTAACATTTTTGATCGTTTATTATGTACAAGGTATTATGTGAAATATTTTACATTCATTATGTTAGCAGATCCTCCCAACAACCCACAAAACAGCTTCCATCATCATTCCCATTTTATAAGAGAACATAAAGAGGCCCAGTCATTAAATCACTTGCCTAAGACCCAACAGGAACGCAAAAAGGCAGCCCAATTCCAGCCCTGCCCTCTTAAACCCTGATATATGCCCCTGTATCTCAGGTATTTAATTTCAATAATAACAAGAACTTTAATTTCTGGGAAGGCAGTAGCAATATGCATTGCTTCTACTAAGATGACTGGAAAAAATAAAAATAATAAATTACAAAAAGGTCGTAATTAAAAAGAAAACTGGCAAGCTGTAGAGACGAAGAGGACTGAATGACCTAGAACTATAGAAAAGTCCTTCTAAGGTGAACTGAAATTCTATCACTTTCTTCTCTGAGCGCATTTGCCAATTCTGGATAAAAGCTAAAGCTTGGGCTTGGGGGTTGGGGCCACTAGTCTCCAGCGAGGGGTGTGGGTATTATTGGCCATGTCAGTGGCAACTGTAGTCGTGTGGGCCATCGCATAGTTCATTTTTATGATGCTGCGAAATGAGCAATTGGAGAGTGGAAGTTGCCCCAAGCAAAATACCAGGCACACTGTGACCTTCAGGGTTTATCTCTTTTACTTGGATCAATAGTACTTGGCTTAGAAGTCTTTGTGGTTGTGGCGATAACCAAAAAGGGCTCGTATTTGACTTTTCAAAAGGATAAGTCTTCTGTGAGCCTAACTCTTGGCACAGTTTGATTAGCATGTGCACAAATATCACACTTTCCACCCTCGGCCAAGGAGCTGATTAACAATCTTGGCCATAACTGTTTATGGTTTTGTTCAAACTGTTTTGTTTTTTTTGTGAACTTTACTCCTTTTAAAAGGTTCTTAATCATGCCTAGAGATTTGCTATCTCCCTTCAATTTGAGGGTAATTTAGGGCAGAGGCACTGTCAAGGCCAATCTTTAGCAAGATTATGAGGAAGACAGTTTCTCACTGGCCATAAATTGGAGGGAAGCAGTTTATCCTGTTGGAGATATCCCCTTCCCCTCCACACCTCCCCAGATGATTACAAATCTCCCTATATCTGACCTTACATTCACCTAAACCAGCACTCTATTCCTTTAATTCTTATTTATATTTAGGTGTTTGTGACTAAAGACAATCGAGAATGTATCCTCTTAAAAATAGTTGATTCCTAGTAAGTGGAAAATGCAAACTAAAAAATGAAGCTTACATAAAGCAGCTTTCAATAAAGCATGTCCTTGAAGCTAACAGCAAAGTCACACAACCGGGAAGTGCTGGCATGCATGATTCAAGTCACAAACCTAAGTCTTTGCACACCTGAAGGATGTCCCAAGGCAGATGTCTGCCTCTTATTTTCAGTGTTCTGTCACTTTTCCAGTCTGTACTCTCTTCCTTGGGTTTTTCGTTCTGCCATTCATCTATTTGTTTAACTGATTATGTTGTGTACCTACCTGTGCCAAGCACTATGCTCGGGCCTGGGCGAATCACTGAACAAAAGCATCTCAGCCCTCAAGCTCACACCCAGAGGGAAGAGAAATGTAACTAAATAGCCCATCGCAATACATGACATTCACAGAGGGCAAAGAGAATATTGAGAAAGTACCTTACCTTCACAGAGTGTTTGAGGAAGGTTTCAAGGAAAAGATTACATCTGAAAGAGAAATAAAGGAGGGTGATTTAGCCAGAAGGAAATAGGTGTGGGTATCAGGACATATCAGGCCCTAAGGACTTCGTGGGTAAAAAAAGAACAAAGCAAAATATTAGCATTATTTTTTGAGAAAAGTATAGGCCATTTAGAATAGCTTGAGAGAGAATGGCAAAAATGAATATGAGGTGGTAGCAGAGGTGCTATGCTGTCATTGTCCTCATCCTTTTCATCCTCCTCATTCTCTTCACATCATCCTCAAAGAAACTAACAATTGGAAGTTTACTGTGCACCAACCACTATTCTAAACAGTTTTCAAGTTTCAAGTCACTTATTACAAATCTCTAGGCACAATTAAGAACCTTCGAAAGGAGCCGATTCCACTGTGTAATATGTTTTATGCCCTGAAAGATGCTTAAAGTTTGTCCTCTAAAAATAAAATTTTTCACGCCCATTAGGATGGCTACTATCAAAAAAAAATCTAGAAAATACCAAGTGTTGGCAAGGGTGTGGAAAAACTGGATCTTGTGCACTGTTGGGAATGTAAAATGGCACAGCCACTATGGAAAACAATATGGCAGTTTCTAAAAAAATAAAATAAAAATAATTACCAAATGATCCAGCAATTGGTTCTGAGTATATGCCAAAAATATTTTAAACAGACCTGTGTTCATAGAAGCATTATTCACAATAGCCTAAAGGTGAAAGCAACCCAAGTCTCTGCCAATGGAGAAATGGATAACCAAAATGTGCTATACGTACAATGGAATATTATTTTGTGTTAAAAAGGAAGTAAATTCTGACATATGCTAAGACATGGATGAACCTAGAAGACATTACTACATGAAATAAGCCAGACACAAAATGACAGATCCTGTATGATTTCAGTTATATGAAATGCTTAGAGTAGTCAAATTCATAGAGACAGAAAGTAGAATGTTGGCTGTCAGGAGTTGAGGGGAAGAAGAAATGGGGTGTTTTTATTTAAATTGGGCACACAATTTTTATTTTATAAGATGAAAGAAAAACATGGAGCTGAATGGTGATGACTTACACAATATTATGAATGCATTGACTATCACTAAATAGTATACTTATAAAAGGTTACAAGGGCCAATTTTGATACATGTATTTTACTTCGATAAAAAAGTAGAAAAAAAGAATAAAAGAAGAATCATGGAATAAAAAAGCCAGGTTTTTATTGTAATGAATCACACTGGTATCTACAGGAATAATTAATTTGAAGAGGGAGAACCTGAAAACTGGGAGACAAATCGTTTATGCAAGAGTAAGAATTCCATAGTTGAGGTGTATGTGGACAGAGAGGAAGGAAGAGATTCAAGAAATATTTATGCAGTAAAATTTTGGATCTGATTATTGGATTTGGGAAGGTAATGGGAAGAAGATAAGAACAACTGGATGGACTATCAGGCTAAAAGCTTGGCAGTCCAGGTTAGCGGTGTTAATGCTAATCGTAAAAGAGAATACCAGAGGGTAGGTTGCTGGGTTCCGGTTTAGATGACCTAAGTTTGAGTGACTGAAGGACATCTAGATGAAGATGTACCACAGGTCATGCAATCTAGAACTTGACAAGAAAGTGACCCACCTACAGGTCATCATGGATGCTATAAGCCCAGTGAAATATTGTGAAACACCAGTAATAAAAGAGTGAACAAGATAATGTGAGACCAAGAAGGAGAAGGTCTATGACATACATGGAGAACAGAATCAAAAATCACAGTGATTAAAATGCAGAAAAAAGAAAGGTCTGGTGGGCGAAGGACGAAAAAATACCTGCTTGGTTTGCCAAAAAAAGAAAGAAAGAAAATCATTAGGCATTTTATAGAGAGCAGCACGAAGAATAAATGGAGTGGACAAATGTCAGACTGAAATCGGTAGATCATGAAATAGAGGTCAAGTCGAGAGTGAATGGGATGCAGGTAACAGACTGGAAAGTGAGCAAGAGCACAGTGTCAAGTGTTCTATTTTTATGGTGGTTGAACCTCGAGAAAGGAAAAAGGTACAGTAGAAGGAAGCAACTGGAAGAACTGGAAGAAAAAGTTGGAAATCTAAGAAAGGGAATCATCTAAAAAGCTTCCCAGAGCTGAAGGTAGGAGGATTAGGGTCAAGGCACATATGGAAGAATCAGTCATGAATGTGAGGAGGGATATCTTGCATTCTAAGACTGGGAAAAAAGGAAGAAAGAAAAGAAGCCAATGGGAATAGATATATAGATCGTCAAGGAAGAGCACCAAAATTTTTTATTTCTGCTGGTCTTCATGGTAAGGTGGTCTGCTGAGAAGATTTTGATAAAATGGCTGCAGAGAGTGGTACAGGTTTGATGGAGTCATGAAGGAATGAGAAACAGCCAGCAGAAGACTGATGGGAAGTGAGAAGGCTCAGCAGGGCTTGGGTTGGTGCTGAGTTTCCCAGGTTTAGAAGCTGAGGCAATGCATTACAAATCAGTTCCAAGGCTGATACCTTGCTGGGTGGGAAGGCAGAAGAGTAGAATGTTTTCAGCTCCTCTTCTTTCCATCCGTATTTTCCCAAGGTGTCCATTGCTTTGATTTAGCTGAGTACTTTAATAAGATAAAAGACAGATACAACTCAATCACATGGGGTACTGGGAACATAGTATGTGATTGTGAAACTGCCTGACAATCCTAGGATTCAAAGGCTGGTTCCATATATTATTGACACCTGATCCTGGGGCAAGTTTTATAATCACTTTGAGCATTTGTTTCATCATTTGTGAAAGAATTATAAGCATTAAATAAGCTTATATCCATATAATTCCTGGTTCATCATAGGCATCAGAAAATTTCAGTTTCTCTTCCCTTTATTAACACCTCACAAAGAATATCTTTCATAAAACTGAACCCAGAGGAATCCAAATCTTAGAAATTTCTTTCTTATTGTTGAATTTCCATTGCAGCAGAGCAATTCACTTGCAAAATAAAGACCTATCCGGGGCCAACTTGATTGAGCCCTGGAGAATTGGGGTAATTCTTTCAAAAAGTAATCCTCACCCCAAACTTCCATTTCTTTTTTTAGAGCCTTACTTCAGTGTGAATGAGTGTCTGCGTGACTTAACACCACCATACAATACCATTAGATCCACTCTTCATTTTCCAAGGAGGCACAAACTGAATTAAGTTTGTGTAATAACGTCACCAATCCAAACCTCTGGCTTAAATGAGGGGCTTGAAATTCTTAGAGATTATTTAACTCATATTTTTAATAAACCAGAGCTTCGAATATTGAAGCGTAGGTAAGCCACTCTAAAGCAAGGCTTAAAAAAGTTAAGTCCTACTGATAATTACATGATAAAAATCTTCCGTACTTACCTTCAGCATCCATCATTTTCCACTGTCAGCCATTGGTAGTGTGAAGGAGGACAATACTAATATTTTCATGGATAAATCAAACTGTTTCTTTTTGATTTGTGCCAGTGAAAGTATCCCAAGTTTTTTTCTTTTCTGTTGTTTATACTGAGGCAGGCCATATTGTGGATTCCCCTCAGCTGTGTGATAAATCCCCATGTGAGTCACATCTATTTCTGCAAATGCTCCGAGTGCTGTGTTAAGCAAGGGAAAGAATGAAATCTGTTGGGTATCTTCTTTCTCCTGCCCTTCTGGTCACTGCTGCCTGCTACAGTCATTGAATAGTCTGTTCTCCTTTTCTTTTTAGTGCCTAGTTTGAGTTCCTGATATCACTAGGTGCTCAGAAAAAAAATAAAAAACAAACAAAAAAACTTTTATTGAATTGAAACCCTGACCTGCTTCAGCAGGGAGGAAGGAAAAAACAGAAGAAGTTTTCACTGTTGCAGAGGGACAGTTGCATAGGGACCATACTTCCTATTGTTAAGAGGAAGTAAACAGTGTTCATCAGGGTGCCAAGAACCAAGGAAGAATTAAATGAGATAATTGAAAAGATATAAAACAATATATATGAAGGGGTCATATACATTGGTCATCATTGATGCTATGAGGCCAGTGAAATATTGTGAAACACCAATAATAAAAGAATGAACAAGGGAATTGGAGACCAAGAAGGAGAAGGCCTGGGAAAAAAATGGAGAACAAAAAAAAAAATGGAAGGATTGAAAAAGCAAAAAAAAAAAGGTCTGGTGGGCTAAGGATGAAAAGATACCTGTTTGATTTGACAAAATAAATAAAGTATCCATTTCCATACAAATAGTGACAGTCTTTGTAAAAGTGGAGTTATACATAGGATGCAGTATTGCTAGGTAGCTTAATAAAAGCACTTAGAACATAGTGGGTTCTATGCTGAACATTGAGGATGTATCAGTGTGTCAAACACAGTCCCAGCTGTTTGGTGGACTATAATCTAGGGTTGGCCTTAAGCCGTCTTTCCATTGCTCTCTGGTCCTCGACTTTACTATGACCTCTACAAGGAGAGGTGGGGACAGTGCCCATCCTAGAGCTGGAGGGTTGGCACAATGAAGAGGTCAGTGTCTTTTGCTTTTGTCCTGTTTGTAAACCCTTATGATCGTTGGTCTGTCCCAGGGTTGCACCTGGTGGATTTACTGTCATTCATGCAAAAACACCTCAGAGCATTTTTTCCAACCTGTTGCAGTAGGGCAACAAATGGCGGCAACCAGGAAGAGAGGCCAGGAAGAGGAGACAGGGCATGTGAAGCAGAGCTGCGGAGAGGGGAGCTGTGGTGCTAATTAGAGCAGACAAACCTTGTGCGTGGTAACTAGAAGACCCTTGAAGGCTTGTCTCATCCAACTCCTCCATTGATGAGATTGATAAACGAAGTTCAGAGACAGGAAGTAACTCACCCAGAGCCACACATCCCACTCACCAAATGGTCGATTTCTTTTTACCTGACCATTAAACAGTGATACTTCTTTTGATAGGTCTCACTGCAAGCGGAGCTCTAGCCATCTAGTATAACACAGTGGTTAAAAACAAGGGTGTTAGCACGAGACTGTCTGAGTTCAAATCCCAGTTCTGCCTCTTAGTACCTGAGTGATCTTAGGGAATCACTTAACTATTTGCATCTCAGTTTCTTCATCTCAGAAAAGAGATTATCTCTGTGCTTTTAGAACTGAATGTGTTAAAACATATAAAACCATAGAACAGTGCCTAGAAAGCAGTATGTGCTATGTAAGAGTTTGCTATCTACATATGTGTATGTGTGTGTAATTGTTGTCAAGTCATCCCTCAAATATTAGTCAAAGTGAACAAGCAAATTTAATAAACAATGTATTTCCTCCTCATTTATTACTTGACTGTTCTCTTTTATCTGTTCTAAATGTTCAGTGTGTCAAAGCGGCGTGTTTATTAAATACGCTTCAGGAAGTGGGCTGGGTTTATATATACAAACCTATTCAGCAATAGATTTTTATCAAGGTTGGAGGAATGCCATCCCCCAGAACTTGCCTGCATTAACACCTACTTAGGACTGTACTAACGACTTTAAAAAGTTTCCCCCCAAAGAAGTGCTGACTCAAGACAGGGAATGCCAATGAAGTTAGGATGAAAGCTGGGCTTCCGAGCTCTCTGGAAAATGATTCATGTTCTTACTGTAGTCACATTTTTGCCTCTTGTAGGACACGTTGTTTCACTTCAGCTTCCTTGAAAGATGGAGAGAGTCAACAGAAAGCTCTAAGCCAAGAAAAGTTATCTCTTTTCATTTTCAGCCATTCAAGTCGAGGGCAACATATTCTCTTCTGTTTCTCCTGCTGGAGGCACAAAATGACCCCCACTGCTGCTTGAGGAGAAAGAAGGAATAAAAGGAAGGATGGCCCCAGGCCCAGCATAGGCACACCCTGCTCCTCTCCCTCAGGTGTCCCTGCCAGCTGCCTTCTCTTGCACTCCCAGGGTGACACTTGGCTGGGCAGTTCAGTAACCGTGATAATGGAGAGTGTGTTCCTGATTGAGAAAGGTCAAGTGGTAATAATAAGAACTGACAGTGTATTGACTACCAACTCTGCCAGGCAGTGTTCTCTGCCATTCACGTAGATAAACTCATGTCACCTTTATAACAACCCTCTGGGGGGCTACTATAAGTATTCCTATTTTGCAGAAGAAACTGAGAGCCAGAATATTAAGAAAACAAGTTCAAAGCCACACTGCTAGGAAAAGATAGAGCTAGAATTCAAACCCAGGCCAATGGACTCCAAGGTCCATCTTATAAATTAGTTGATCCTCAGAGTGTGACCTGAGGACTGGTGCTGCAGCCATGATTTGTTAGCACTTGTGATGGGATAATATAGAAGCTTAGAATAAACACTAGAAACTTTTATAGCAATTTGCTATTAACCTGGCATCCAAGAAGATGACCACTAGACTCATCTCAGTATAGGTCCATTCTGGTGTGTGAAACCCACATGGTGAGGTACATGTGGTGTAGGTCATATGTGAGTCATGCACAGTAGGACGACACTGTCCATGAGCAATTGGAAATTTAAAAATGAGTCCTTCAGTAGAGACGGTTTGATAAGCGCTTCTTTAAAACATCATGCTATACAGCCTGCAAAACTCAGCCCTTGCCATGAATGTGATCAATCAGTTAGACATAAATGCATATAGTGAAAGGAGCATTGAATCAGGAATCAGAAGATAAAAAGTAGGCGTGATCACTAAAGAGAAGATATGGCATGTTGGAAGTTGATAAGCGCCATGGAAAATCTTACAGAGAAGGGCAGGGAAAGCAAATCAGGAGACAAGGAGGAGTGTGCAGTATGCAGCAGGGAGGTCGTTAGGACAGTGTGTGATCATTTCCCCTAGGCAGATAAGCCTCTTGGTAAATGTTTAATTTTGCTTTGGCTTCTCCTTGCCTCTCCCCATCATATGTCCTGGCTCTCCTGTTTTCCTCTCTGAATCAAAACATAATAGACAATTCATTCTTCACTGACCAGGAAAGTCCAATCCATCCTAATATGTGCTCCAAAGTTAAATTATGGGTTTGGAACAGATGATCTCCAAGAACTCTTCCAGCTTTGAAACTCTATGACTTTGGCTAAAAGAACAATTATATATTACTCTCAAGGTACAAAACTTTTGTATCAGTGAGGCTCATTTGATGTGACTCATTCATTCAGCCATTCGGTTGTTTAATATAAATTTAATGATCACCACCTATGAATCAGGCACTGCCTTATGCACTGATGTTATGGAGATACATAAGGCACAGACTGTCTTCAGGAATTTCAGAGTTTGGCAAGACAGTCAGGCCTTTAAACAAAAATGACAACGCATCTTAAGTGCTACAATAGATGTCTGTATAGGTGAGCATGATGACAAGATTGAAAGGTTGTGACGTGTACTCCAGGTTTTGAAGAATGAAGAGGAGTTTACCTTCTTGAGTAGAGAGGAGAAAAACTAGTTCAGGCAGGGAAGTACATGTGGAAATATCACAGTGGGTGACATATTTAGGAAATAGACTAGTAGCTTAGTCTGATTGAAAGGTAGCATGTAAAAACGGATCCTGACTGGTGAGAAAGTTAACAGGGCCAGATATAAGAGACAAGGCTAAAAATATTTGTTTTTCGAGGTTGTGTTGTGAATATGTTTTTTTCCCCAGTATGTGATTAAAGACACACACACACACTCTCTCTCTCTCTCTCAGGTGTGCACAAAGTTGTCATTGTCCCTCTTTGTTCTCTAGGTTATTTATTACACGTTGTAGGTTCCCTAGATTATTAAATTGAAAACTCTATTAGTAGTCCACCATTAGCATCCCAGGGCCTAGTTGAATGCTGGCAACATATAAGCACTCCTATTTGAGTGAATTAATACATGAACCAATAAATAAATGAATTAATCAATTATCACTAATATTTTTTGTCTCTGTTACTTCTATAATCCTTTATAATTTATTTATTTATTTATTTACAGTTTTGGATGGACTATTTGGCTACGTCTCCCTGACAAAGGAATATTTGTGGGTTGATCATACCTAGAATATACTTACATATATTTTTAAAAATCAGTCTACAGATGTCAGAACATTCAGGAGTCATTGGTTGGGGGAGGGCAGAAGGAAATAAAGGAGAAAAAAACACAGAGAAAACCTTGACTTTCAAATTATTTTTGGTGATGGAGGGCCAGCTGTCTGTTTCTCATTATCTTTCCCCCACTTCCACATCTATGAATTAGAATTGACTATATTTTTCTAAGACATCACTTCTGCAGTGATCACATGTTTGCATTTTATCTCTGTCTCACTCACAAAAAAAGGGATGGGCTCTAGACTAAGGTATAGCAATCCGCTTCTTGGCATGAACTGCCTATGGTAGGTTTCCAAAAGTGCTCATTTCTCAAAAGCACTTTCTAGATGCTCCTCACCCCCAGAAATGATTTCGTTTTCTTAGACGGCAATTTTTGTAGTCCTCTTTCTATGAAAAATTTTTAACATAAAGAAGGTAGAACAAGTACTCCAGTGAACCTTCATGTATCAGTCACTCAGCTTCAAAGATAATCAACGTTTTTCTAGTATCACCTCCTGTCTATTAGCACCTCCCCTCAATTTTGTTTGCTTGGGTTTTTTTTCTTACTGGATTGCTTTAAAGTGAATCCCAGATGTCATGTCATTTCATAGCTAAATGCTTGGCATGAATTTCTGAGTGATAATGTCATGCTTTCTTTGCATAGTTTCCCCAGCACCATGACAGTAATGCACCTAACAGAGTTAACAGCAGTCTCTTAATTTCGTCTCATACACAGTCCGTATTCAAACATTCCTGATTATCTTAAAGACATCTTTTTTTACAGCTGGTTTATACATATCAAAACTAAGCGAGATCTACCCATTGCAT